ATTCACCATTTCATCAAACTCTAACTCGTCATCTTCTTCTTCTTCATCAACTGCATCTACCTCAGCTTGTTCATTCTCCAAAGGATCAACCACTTGTGTCACCTGAGGCTCTCGCAGCATAACGTACAACTCAATAGAGTCGTACCCAGAATACACATAGCTGGAAAACATATTCTGGAGATCCTCGTTATCTTGAACTTCAACCTTATAAAAAATTACTTGGTTGTTTCAAAAAAAACTGGATTCTGATAAAATATCTGGGTCGACGGGCCTCGTCCAAGTTTGGCCTCCAATCGTTTTTTGAAGTACAAGAAATTGGCTTTCCCGTTTAAGAGAAATCGGATGTTGTCTGTGTCTCTAAACAAAAACCCAGCGGTGGGACAAATGTATGTCTCACCGTTGAAATGTGCTTTGACGACAAATTGTGGTGCAAAGGCCATTGCGTAGGATTGTTTGAAGGTTTGAAGGTATGAAGGTTGGAATGTTTGAATTTTATGAGTTATTCGAAGGTTGGAATGTTTGAAGTTTATTGATTGTATGAAGGTTTGAATGTTGTAAGGTTTGAAGGTTGGAATGTTTGAACTTTATGAGTTATTCGAAGGTTTGTATGTTTGATTGTTTGAAGGTTTGAAGGTTTGATTGTAAGAATGTTTGAAGGTTGGAAGATTTGACAGATTAAGTGACTCAATGTTATGATAAACGTAAGACTAAAAATTTCAATTAAGTAAGGATGTAACCCCCAAGGCTGCCAATAGTGTTACATGCATGGCATCCCAAAGGCTTTCACGTAGCCTGAGCCTAGCCTGCAACCAAGGACACCTCTTATTCGCCAATTGGGATGGAGACACCATTCATTTTTGTACTCTTTCGCCAAGTCCAATGGCGCCTCCCTTACTGTCCAATCGTCATACATGCATGCAGATATGTAACCCCCTAGGCTGCCACCTAGCCTGCGCCTACTCTGCACCTATAATGTATGTTGTAAGTCTCCTCCCATCACCTCCAATAGAGTTACATGCATTCAGGCATGGTATCCCAAAGGCTGTCACGTAGCCTGAGCCTAGCCTGCAACCAAGGACACCTCTTATTCGCCAATTGGGATGGCGACACCATTCATTTTTGTACTCTTTCGCCAAGTCCAATGGCGCCTCCCTTACTGTCAAATCGTGATACATGCATGCAGATATGTAACCCCCTATGCTGCCACCTAGCCTGCGCCTACTCTGCACCTATATTGTATGTTGTAAGTCTCCTCCCATCACCTCTAATAGGGTTACATGCATTCAGGCATGGCATCCCAAAGGCTGTCACGTAGCCTGAGCCTAGCCTAAAACCAAGGACACCTATTATTCGCCAATTGGGATGGCGACACCTTTCATTTTTGTACTCTTTCACCAAGTCCAATGGTGCCTCCCTTACTGTCCAATCGTGATACATGCATGCAAATATGTAACCCCCTAGGCTGTTACGTAGCCTGAGCCTAGCCTGCACCTATACTGTATGTTGTAAGTCTCCTCCCATCACCTCCAATAGGGTTACATGCATTCAGGCATGGCATCCCAAAGGTTGTCACGTAGCCTGAGCCTAGCCTGCAACCAAGGACACCTCTTATTCGCCAATTGAGATGGCGACACCTTTCATTTTTGTACTCTTTCACCAAGTCCAATGGCGCCTCCCTTACTGTCTAATCGTGATACATCCTTAGGCTGCCACCTAGCCTGCAAGAGTGACACCTTTCATTTTTGTACATGCATGCATATATGTAACCCCATAGGCTGCCACCTAGCCTGCAAGAGTGACACTTTGCATGCATGCAAGCACCAGCAACCACTATATGAATTTTTTTTGCCTCTAAATACATGCCATGTCATACATCTCTCACACCCACACAAGTCTCACTCTCTGCTACGAAATCTTTCATAATCTCTTACACTTTCTAAGTCTTTCATACTCTCTTACTCTTTCTAGGTCTTTCATAATCTCAAGCATTTTAAACAATGGTTCTTCTAACAATGGGCGATTCTTACAGAGGCACAAGGGAAAACATTGCCGCATTTATAAGTTTCTATTTTGGTTATACATTTTTCATATTTCAGATAATGTTTTGTTCATCTTACTTAATCTTACACCTTTTACATTATGAACTCAGGACACCAAAAGATTCAGAATCCATTCTCACAACTACCTGGCTCCCGATCCATTTATCGTACCATATCTGGAATACGCAGGTTTTGGACATGTGATAAAGATCTCCAACTATACAATTGATTCGAAGTTCATTCTTGCAATGTTGGAAAGGTGGAGACCAGAGACCCATACATTTCACCTACCAATAGGTGAATGTACCATCACGCTAGAGGATGTGTACATGCTACTAGGTCTCCCTATCGACGGTAAGGTCGTGAATGGGTCAGTTCAACAACCCAACTCTTAGTGTGAAGAACTGTTGGGCAGGGATATGGTTGACGGTGGTGGTGCGAGAGGTCAGGGAATACTACTCACTGAGCTTAAAAGTCATTATGCAAGTTTGGAATTAAACGAAAATTCCTCCGAGCAAGACAGGGTAGTAAAAGCCAGAACTTATCTTATGATACTATTTGGTACCTTTTTATTTCCCGAAAGTACGGGAAATAGTGTAAATTTTATGTATTTACATTTACTAAGAAATTTTGAAAAAACAAGAAAATATAGTTGGGGTTCTGCAGTTTTAGCCCACCTATACAGTTCCTTGTGCAAAAATGCAGTCAAGGAAAAATGTACATTTTATGGGTGCGCTTTTTTACTACAAGCCTGAAGTTGGTGGAGGATGGAGTCCTTAAACCCCGTCAACAACAACACTTTCACTTTTCTGTACGCAACAAAGTAAATCATCAAGTTATATCATTTATTAGTATTCATCTCTTCACCAAATATATGCTAAGAATAAAATGTTTTTCATTTCCTTTAGGTATTGCGTGAGGGGTATGGATTACGGCAAGAATCCAAGATTCAATGTCGCACTATACCGCAATCTGTTGGATCACTTAGGCTCGGATGATGTACGTCGTAGCTTTAAACTTTTCTTCATTTAAATTATTTATACATTACTTTTGCGTTAACCTGATTTAAATTTTATCGCAGTTCGTCTGGAGACCATATTTGGGTTTGGGCCATGATCCAAACCCGGAGGACGCAGCAATTTGGACCACGAAGACTGCAATCATACGGTTCAACATTGTGGAGATGCACCACAGCGACCGTGTGAAGATGCAGTTCGGAATGCATCAAGAGATACCAAGTGATCCGACTTGTTTGTCCCCGTGGCATCTCAAAAGGGTCGACGCCCAGTGGGGTCTTACCAACTGGAAAGACTTTGCTCCAGAATAGTGTAAGATGTGGCAGAGGCGTCACCGACGTGTCTTGCAATTCCTGGTTTTCCTTAATCATGGTAATATGCGACACACAGATCAATATTTATCTTGGTACAGGTCGGTTAGTAACCCTGAAATACACGTGTCTTATCCAAGATACTTGGCTAACCCACGCACACAATGGGCACAACCCTCGTTTCCCCAACAACAAACCCAAAACTCATCAACCTCCCACCAACCCCCAAGAAGAAACAGACCCACAAACACCCAACCACAGTTCCCACCACAATACAATTACACTCAAATGCCCCATAACCAATCACAATTACCACCTCACTACCAATACCCCGATATGCCTCACACCCAACCACAATACCAATCACAATACCAACACACCTGCATACCCCACACACATTTTCAGTCTTCCGTATATCCCAATATGGGCCCCTCAACATCCAGCCTTAGCCCTGATATGGGAATGTCGGAAGATTACGAACAAACCGACTCAGCCTACCATCAACCACAATATCACCAAACCATCCAACATCCTCAATACCAAACACCCCAAGATCCATTTCCTTTCTATCCACCGTACTCAGACGATCAATGCTACAGACCCACCATGGAACCCCACCCACCGCCAACACGACCAAACTTTGAGGGTATGGGTAACCGACTATACCAAAGCGGATCTTCTAGATATGGAGATCTGACTGATTTTATAGATCCGGGCCGCATTGACTTCGTTAGGCCATCGACTCTGCCGCAGCAGGAAACACGACGACACCCACCACGGGAAAGACGAGGACGGAGATGCGAAACCGGGGTCATTACCGGGTTCCGGGGGATCACTGATTTATCTGTTTTTTTTTTCCTGTATTTTTTTATTTGTTTTTTTTATCTATTTTTTTTAATCTGTTTTTTTAATGTAATACAGTTGGATGTAATTATTTTTTTAATAAAAAGTTTATTTTGTTGATCCTGTATCCAATACGCAACGCACCGGACAAAAAAAAATTCAAATTTTACCCTAAAATAACACCTAGGCGCCATCTCACTTGGCTTAGTGCATGCCCTAAGCACATAGGCGCCAAGTGAGATGGCGCATCCCCTTAAAAAATGGGAATAGGCGCCAATTCAGATGGTTCCTCCTTTGGGGAGTCATCTGAAACATGGTTATTTACGTAATTTTTTCCGAAACACAGTTATTTGCGAAAAATTTTTTTTAATACATAATTATTTAAAAAAAAAAATTCTGCATCAAAGCCTCCATACAAAACACTGATCATCTCATTTTTTCTCTAAATTTTTCTCTTAACTCTCTATTTTTTTTTCTTAGTTATAATCTTTTTCTTTAAAATAAAATAATTTTATATTAAATAGAAAGAGTGGAATTAAGAGAGATAGAGTGAGGAAATTAGATTCACTGCCGTTACTATCTTTTTCATATTCATGCAGTCACACCATATCTAATCATTTGATCTACATTGGAAGATTCAAATTTTAATACAAATTTAAAATTTTAAAATTGTAAAAAATACTTAATATATATACATAGACACCTGCAGGCATCTTGTACTCTGTCTCTCTCTATAAAAGCAAATAACACCAGTAGCTACCCATAAAATGTTCTCACGTGATCTCTCATTCATGGCTGATCACTCTGACCGCTCTAATCATTTCTATTCATCATCACCATGTTTCTTCCGATTCAACCATATTTCACCATCTTCAAACCCTTCTTCATATCACCACCATTACCCTTTTCTTCATCGCCACAGCAACAATCACACCTTTTTCCAATATCATCAGATTCCTACTTCTCTACCACCTGTTCCTCCTCTTAGAGAAGAACTACCCCTTTTAAGCTTAATCCCAGAAAAACAACAACAACATGAGGAAGATATCCAATTCCTTCCTTGCACTGCCATAGATTTTGAAGATGTTACCGTTGCACTTCACATGGGTTTGCCAAACCCCAGTGCTGCTGAAATGGCTTCTCTACTTTCTTCATCAAATAACTCCTCAGAGATCACTGTCACTGATAAAGAGCACGGTGATGATTCTTCTTCCGGATTCATGATGCTTCATAATAACACCCTTAACAAAGGACAGTATTGGATCCCTACTCCTTCTCAGATTCTCAATGGTCCAACTCAGTTTTCTTGCACTGTTTGCTCCAAAACTTTCAACAGATATAACAACATGCAGGTAATTATTCACTTGTCACCTTATAACAACATGCAGGCTACCTTGTTACTGTTGTGTACCAGGGTGCATAAACAACATCGATCATCCAAGAGCAAATCCATTGAAAGATTTTAGAACACTTCAAACACATTACAAGAGGAAACATGGAATTAAGCCTTTTATGTGCAGAAAATGTAGCAAATGTTTTGCTGTTAAAGGAGATTGGAGAACTCATGAAAAGAATTGTGGGAAGCTATGGTATTGTATTTGTGGTTCAAATTTCAAACATAAGAGGTCTCTTAAAGATCATATCAAAGCCTATGGAAATGGCCATGCTGCTTATGGATAATATATTTATTATAGGAAATGCAATGCCGAAGCTCAATGGACACAACTATGTTGAAGGATATGAAAATGTCTTCTAATACAACATTTTACAAAATTTATTAAAGATCTTTATATTATTATTTTTACAATTCTGCTAATTTCTACAAGAGAGTAAAAAATCGTATGAAGATCCTTGATTCCGATTTCTAGATAGTATTTTTAATTGCAATTGTTCTCCCCCCTTCATTTTATTTTTTTGTTTATTATATTTTTATTGAAAAATAGTAAGAACTACCCTTAAAAAATTATATCTAAGTTTTATTTAAGGTGCTTTGATTTCTATTTTTCACTAATGTTTTTTTATTGATAAATCAAACTCATTAAAATATTAGTTATATAATGTTATACTAATTAATAAGTTTTTCATATGCATTATAAAAATAATAGTTGAATTGAACTTTTTTATCATACATGTCCATAGGGAATTTAGAAAATATAATTGAATTTTTCTTTTTCTAATGATATCGTATAATTTATCATTAACAAATCAATGGAGTTTAAAACTATAAATTTATTTAAAGATACTATTCCTTTATAAAATCAGAATTGTTGATGAATTGATGTGGTGGACTTTCAGCGCAGTGGAGAAAGTCTTTGATGTGGAAGCAGAGGATGGAATTGAGAGGCTAGTACTCAAATTCACAAGTAAGTTATTGAGTAAAAAAGAGAGTAGAGTGAATTATGGAGAAAATCATACCTCAAGTTTCATGCAAAGTGATGTATATATGATGGGTGGTTGAAGAAATCCCTTATTTTACCTTGAGGATTAAGGAAGACAGTCAGATTATATCGAACAATGAGTATCCTTCATAACATAGCTACTTTGAATCTTCATGACTTGGGATGTATAATCTCAAAGTGGCAATAAATCCCTTATTTTATTGGGTTGATGGATGGCTTAGAACACTTGATCCCAAGGCTTTTCATTGCATAGCAAATGAGAAGTCTTTACAGAAAAATGACTCGACTATATTACCTGAAGAAGGGGAAAGGTTTGTGAGTCGACACGAGGAGAGATGTATATTAAATTCTAGTCTCATCATTGAGACATTTCTCATGACTTTTCTGACACGTGGCCCTAGCTTTCTATGCTAAGGTGTCACGCTTCTGCCTAGGATGTTTTAGTGCACTCAAGTGTCGTTTATATTTTAAGACGACTCTTAAATGTTACTTTTCATTTTTCCATTTTCTTTTCTCATAACACTATTACAAAAAGTAACTATCACCACAGTCGGGAGACGGTTTTCATCACGGTTGAAAGTCAGTGGTAACAAATGGTGTGATAGTAAGTGTCATACTTTCTCTTATACCCCAATTTTTGCCCCTAAGATCCCTCATCACATCATATACATCTCGCGCATATCATCGATTCCATAGTTAAGGGATCAAAGGGATTTTTGTATTAGGATTTTTCTCTATGGACTGAGGTCGCTACCTTACTCAAAGTTGATTCAATAGGTTCTCTCATCATTCTTGGTACAAAACTAGGGTTTTTGAATCACAAGTACCATGGATATCGTCCTTGGCAAGGTTCCTTAAGCTACAATATCATTTTTATCAAGATTTATCAATGTCCAAATAATCAGGGTTTCCCATACATTATGCTTGAATATTGATATTTGGGTATTCACCCAATGGTTCACTGTGCTAGGTTTTCTCCTCAAGACTACAAGAATCATCACTCTCTCTATTGCAAGTTCATCATCATCATTTAGGGTTTCTCCTAATGGCTTTCTCCACAAGACGTTACTTTCAAGAAGTTTAGAGGATTTCATCAAGGACCCCTTTCTTGTGATGTTACTTCCCAAATGGTTAAGGATTGGTTGAGGGTTTCATCAAATCAAGATGTACTTTGTTGTGAAACTATGTATTTGAATTTCATCAAACTTTTTTACATGGTTTGGTTGCTTCTCGGATTGGTGGTTCAATTAAAGATTGAGGTTCATTGAACTAAAATGTTCATATTGAAATTATCTTGGTCGTCTTTCTCCCAGCACCTCAACTTCTATCTAAGGATCACTCAAAGCATTATGGTTACCTTAAAGTACCTAATGTTGGTATTACAAGTTACCATGGGTTAGAGATTAGAATTAAGGTCCCATTGGATATGATATAGAGATTCACTCAAGAAATGTCATTAAGTTTAAATGGATTCAACATCTATTATGTACCAGTCCATCATTGTTCGTTCACTTCAAACCAAAGCTCATGGATATTTCTCCATTCAAGGGGGCATATACTGGTGGAATATCAAGTCATGTGTATTTACCTCACAAGTTATGCGTGAATGGATACTTGAGGTAAAGATATTCTTCTAGGCATATGGTTGACTAGTAACACAAGCTTTCTAGAGGTTTCATGTCAAATGTCTCAAGGTTAAAACCTAATGTTGTCTTGTAAAACATTAAGGTTTTGAATCGTTGGTCGTGTAGATAATCAAGCATATGCAACCTGACGACACTTTGAAAAATGGGATGATTCAATTCGGATTCATATAATCCCTTCTAGTTGCTAATAATGAAGAATACTTTGATTATCATCATTAAAACTTCAAAATATCACAAGTTTTCCAAAAGTCATGGCCATTTACAACATGAATCTTTACATAAGTACAAGATAAGAAGGCATTTCAAGTTCATTACCAACATGAGACTTTGTATCCAAGGAGATGTAAAATACCATTACAAAACCATGCATCATATGCCATTTCAAAATTACAAAGAAAATTTCATCAAAACTTCTCCTAAAACTTCGTTTTAATCTTCCATCCTACTTTTGTTTCTTCTCAGTTCAACCTTGCTTGCACTATGCCTAAACTTCTTCATGCTTCCTTCAACAAATTTACCATCACAGCCCTGCATAATTTATAGCAAAAAATCAGGCCAAACATCCACTAAACTAGTTCAGTTCACAATATCCAAATCAATATATAAACTGGAACATGCTAACATTCATTAACAGTCCAGAGATGTTTAGATGTATTAAAGTTTTCAAAAAGTTATATCTAACTGAAACAAATACATAAAACACTTTTAATGATAAAATCAGTTTTGTCCATCACTAAACCAGTTCATCTTGACTTGCATTAAACCAGTTGTACCATGCCTAGAAATATAAAAAATATATGTAGACATTGATATTATCGAATCTTTACCAATTCAGAAAATCATAATAAATTCAGTAGGATCATCCATTCAAAAATCCCTAAAAACATCACTAAAAGAAAACAATTTGACAACTAACTTCTACAACAACCAAAACAGAAAATAAACTTCTAACTACATTCATAACTAACTTCCTAACAACCCAGTACTAACTTCTAACCGGTTTTGAACCTCCTATAACCAACCCTTAATCCCTTAACCAACTCTCTAAGATCTAACAACTGATATCACTTCTCACTCAACCTATAGAAACATGACTCTAACAGAATTGGAGGGGGGTTCGTTTTTACGATTCACAAAAATCACAGAGAAAACTCAAGGACCCACCTTTCAATTCTCTCTTCAACTCTATCTTCCATAATCTTCAGGATGGAATCTTCATCGTGTTTTCACCTTCAAGCATCACCTTCATCTCAACTATCCCCCTCTCTAATTTCTCACCATCCTTCATCATATTCAATCTTCAAGAATTCTGAATCTTTATCTTCCTATTTCCTCAAGCTCCAACAATTTTCTTTCTTCATCACACATCACTAAATCTTCAACCTTCACCACCGTTCCCTTCAATCTTCTCTGTAACCACTCTTTGACTATCCCTGAGATCTTCACGCTTTAGCATTATCATTAGCTTCTACAGATTACAACAACGGTTCACGAATCAAAATAAAAACCTCAAGAAGTAAAAGTAGAAGAAGCACATGTTATTACCGGATTTTGCGAATTTCTTTGGTTCTTCTCAGCTTTGTAGTCATTGAAAACGCCATCGGAACGACTCCGATAAGTAAGCGCTCTATCCTTTCTCGCTCTTGTGTAAAAGTTTTTTGTTGTGTATCATCTCCTGGCTATTATCTTCGTTCGCACGAAGTTGATACGAATCACAAGAGAACGAAATTGCTAAAGCAGATTGAACAGAAGTCCGAGACGAGAAAGGCGAGATCACTTGGTTTCAAGGTGCATTGGAGGATAAAAGATGGAGGTCCATAAAGTTTTACTCAGACAGAACTTGACCGCGGTGTTGAATTGGAAACAGAGGTTATGATGGCGAGTCAAGGACGATTGAGGCAGATTCAGAATGGAGTTGGTTGTGGTGTCGCCAGCAGAAATCGCCGGAGAAGAGGAGGTTGTCCTTCACCGTTCACGTTTGAGAGAAAGAAGGAAGTTATTATATGAGAAGTTGAGTCGTCACTCACGTTCAACCCTAATTTCTCTATAATTTCCCCTTTCATTTTCTCTTTGTTATGTTTTTAATCTATAATATAAGAAAAGTGATTCTATCCAAAAAGTCTTTTTTGTCCTTTTGTTCCAATTAAGCGACACGTGGATAGTCTATCTGTTGTACCCCAAAATTTGCCCTCCCATATTTCTCAATACATGTCAAGTGAAGTCCTCAAGTTGCTCAAGGAAGTCCAAGGGTTGACCAGACAAACCTTCTCCTAAGGCAGTCTACCTCAAATTAGGGTTGCATTTTGCATCAAGATGCTTGAGTCCAAAGGATCCCAAATGCTCACCATTTTCCTAATATGTTCTCAAGATCATCCATGTCAATTTTCAAGCCTTGCAGAGGAAGTTTGCTCAATCAATTGCTCAAAGGCCTGAAAATCGACTGTCTTAGGGCAAAAGTCAATTGTGGCCCACATACAGTCAAACTTCAAGATTTTTGGTTAACATTCTCATTTTGAAGTATTATTCATCATTTGACCAAGGGTTGATCATGATTCCTCAAGGATTTCTCACAATTCATCAAAACCCAAAAGTTGCTAAGTTAGGGTTTTGTAGGAAAAGTCAACTCAACTTTGACCAAGCATAACTTTCTCATACTTTATCAAAATGACCCATCCAAAGCTCATTTTGAAGAGGATGCAATTCCCTACAATCCATCTTCATCTCCCAAGTTCAAAATATTCACTCACAAGAAGATATGAATTTGGACATTATAGGTCATTTTGAAAAGTAAAAAAAAACACCTTTTGGGTCAAAGCTTCATACATGAACATGAAGACTCAATTGAGATGAGACCAAAAACAAGGAGGTGGAAGGCGTGTAAAACAGAAAACAATGTTGCAAAAATTCAAGAAAAGTTGTAAATCAATTTCCAGGTTTCAGGTCATCTCAAGCCTTTCTAACCATACCAATCATTTGATAGATATCCCTGGATCGTATTGCAACCACTAGCAAGCTTCCTCACACCCAGAATCGTGCTGTAAGTTTCAAACGGTTCATCCCTTTTCTTGAATTCGAATATCTCAATTCTGGCACATTTAGCATGATTTATTGATATATTCTTAATCCTTGAGATGTTTGCAAGCTAATGGTTATATCCAATTGTATTTTTATTGACTATACAACAAGTTGCCATAACTAGGGTTCTAGTTTCGTTTTTAGGGGTTTTGTGTACAGGAACAATTAGGCATGGATAATGGTACCATGATGCTCGTGAGGTTACAACGAGTTGATTGGTACCATTGGTTGTGATTTATCATGCTTGCACAGAATTTTGGAGAAGCACATGGTTTTACCTGCACTCAGATGACTATAGGTAAAAGTTTCCAGGGCTAATACGACGGTGGGAGGAAGAAGAAAGTAACGTGGCACTCCCTGACTTGCCCATTCAAATTTCTCGCATTTGAGAATTATTATTTTATTTTTACCATATAATAATTATTTGTCATTCTTTGTACAACTAAGCAAGCCAACGCATGTGGTAAAGTCATTAGTCTTTGATGCATACGTCCTAGGATCGATCCCAGGCGTGTGCATTTTATTTTCTCAATATTTTCAGGATGATTAAATGTACCACACGACAAGGCATCCACCATACATCACCAGTGTCCAAACCATCAGATCATCAACAAGCCAGATCTAAGGCCTTCCCAATGGAGGTCCACCATGGGCATGAATCAAGTGCACGCATGAGATTGGAAAAGTCAAAAGGGCCATCAGCATCTGGGCCCAGAAAATTGCAAATCACACCCCTCCTTTACTATTTACCACAAGCCCATTCTTTTTTCTTTTCTATTTTTTTCATTTATTTATTTAATTTGTTTAAATTATTTCCTTACAAAATTAATTTCCTTTTTTCATAAAAAATTATAAAATCAAGTTTTCACAAAAAAATTTAGAATTAGGTTTTTTTTACATTATCAAATTTAATTTAATATTAGTTTAAATTTAATTTAGGGTAATTCTAACTTTTTGTATATAATTAAAATCAATTAGAAAAAAATTAGGGTTTGCTTTTGATTTAATTTTTATTTATTTTCATAAAATAAAAAAATACAAAATAGGTTAATTTAATTATCTTTCTTAATTTAAATTAATTAGTAATTAGTTTTTTTATTGATTCAATTAAACCTTATTTTCTCAAAATAATCAAAAACAACAAAAAAAAGAGATTTTTCTTTTAAATTAGAATTAGGCTTAGTTGGGGTCAAAACCCTAAATCTCTCGTTTTCGTTTCATCGCGCGCATTTATATTATTTTTGCAATATTAATGTAACTGCTCACGGTATGTAATAGTTTAATTAGGATTTTTCTTTATTTATCGTCTTTTACGGATTTTTGGCTATGTAATTAATCCCTACCCCGAAGCCTTGTAATAGCGTAGATTTTATTTCTCGCATTTTGATTTTCGCAAATATTAACTGTTAGATGTATGTTAATAGGATTGTATGACAAGATTGCATGACAATTTAAAATGGCTAGAAAACCCTAATGTGCAAAGATAATAACTGAAATCAAATCACTCGCACATGCGCACTCTTAGGGTATACTCTCACTTCGGTTGCCTTCGGTAAACGATCATTAAGTATAGAGTGTCTTAGTGGTGGCCCTCCTGTCTAAACAAAGATCAAATATCTTGTTCGAAAATGTTGCCTTGGAAAGGTTGCCTCGGAAATGTTGCCTCGAATATGATCTTAAGACATTAGGGTTATTACTAAGACGTTATAACATTGCTTTAGTGGTCGTACGTCCCATTCGAATTGACCCTTACAACTCCAACGGCGGTGCTTCCTATTTCTCAATAGTAGGATAGCATTGTCTAAAGGAAACGAGAACAGAAATAATCTTTTTTCGAGTAGGTAGATGCTGGTAGGTACTTGCTCAAATCAAACTTTTTCACACCAATTACTTTTCAAACAAAGTTTTCAAAAACAACTTCGTAACACTCTTGAGGACAGAAACAAGGGTTAAAACAAAGTAAAACAAAACTTTCCAAAACAAACACACACAAGCAATTTTAAAAAGATGAGAAAGTACCTAAGAGCCCATGGAAAACCATGGATAAAAAGGGTGCTAACACCTTCCCTTTCTATAATCTACCCCCGTACTCAAAATCTCGAAAAAGGAATTTTTCTGTGCTTTTGTCCTTTCCAGTTGGATAAAATGAAAGTCGGTGGTGACTCTTACTTACCACGACATTTTGCGAATACAAACGCAAAACGCAAACCAGCATTTTCCAAAACAGTCGGTTCTGCCACCGTATCACACTATTCATGCATATATTTTTTTTATACTTTTTTTCTTCTTATTATTCTTTTCTTCAATTCTTTTTCCATTTCAATTTCCACTATCGATGGTTTCTCTTCCATCTACAATTATTGAAAAACGGTTTCTCCTCCATCTCCATAAATTGTCCCTCTCTCTGTTCTTCCATCTCCAGTTTACAATAATCGTTTCTCACCAATTCCAAAATGCTTCATCTTTTTCTTCTTCCTTCTACCTCTTCTTCTTTTTCTTCTTCTTCTTCTTCTTCTTCTTCTTCTTCTTCTTCTTCTTCTTTCTTCCTTTTTTTTTTGTATTGAAACCAAATCAAATTTATGATTTTAAAATTAAATCTGGATCTACTATCAACAATCTCGCTAACGATGGCCTAACTGGAACAAAGAACGATCAAATTCATCTTACAAATGTGCGAATCTGCATTTTCGTGGGGTATTGGTGGTCAGAGGGAAAACTTAAATGACAACTGTTAAGTTTTTCGGTGATGGATTTTTTGTCGATGTTTGAGGCATCAACAAATCTTTTGTTTCCAAAACCTTCGTTCTCTTCCAATTTCTCCATAAATCATGGCCGTTACAAATCATAATCTTCAATTATTTCTCCAATCATTTCCCACTCCACGAGACTCTCATAGGTTTTAGTTTATTTACCGTCGCATTTTCTCATTCTTATCGTAGTGATTTTGATGTTTTTGTGTATAATCGTATTTATATGTTTCTGTTGTGAAATTCGTTGTTTGTATGATTTAGGTTTGGCAAACTATAATTGTATCTAATGATGAATGCCTTTAGGTTTGGCCAACTATTCAACAAATAGTGGATAGATAGTTCTAATCATTATTTATGTTTTCATAAAATTCCACTGGTGCAGGCTGGCCATAGACCCGGTGATGTTGAAATAGTTTATGAATCTGCAGAAAAAGATGAAAGAGAACTTAAGAGGAAGTAACTTCATTTTTTTTAATAAGGTACTACGATTAGGTATTACAATTATTTCTCAATTCCCAGTCAGGTTTTACGATAATTTCTCAATTCCGTAACAATTCTAATATTTGATTGAGTTCAATTGAATTGGATTGAATTTTATTTGTTGGTGATTTTAGTATCACCAATGTATTTTAGTAGTAATGTGATTTACTAAAGGCCGATGCAATTATGCGTTAAGCTTGGAAACGAGTTAGGGAAGTGGGGAGTGCACGCTCGTCGAGCCAATGTATAATTGAATATGAATAATTGAAACAGGGTTCCAAGGGGCGAAGCCCCTGGCGGGGTACGGGGCAGCGCCCCGTTGGGGTTCCAAGGGGCGAAGCCCCTGGCGGAGTGGGGGGCAGCGCCCCGTTCGAAAATTTTGAATCATTTTCCCCAACCGACATAACCGTTTTTCCGAACATGTGTGTCTTTTCGGTTTCAGTTATTGATCTCCTATATAAGGAGTCATTTGGCCTCGGTTTCAAATACGAAAAACGACACTTTCTCTCTACATTTGTAATCAGTTTCTTTTGCCAGAAACAGATTGTTCTTCGAGAATTATCTCCAAAAAGATTTCGTGAACCCAGACAAGAATATGGTCGAAATACTTTGTTCGGAAAGTGTACGAACACGATTCTTCGAAGTTATCCAGGATTATCATAACAAAGATCTAACATTATTTCTAATATATATAATGGTAAG